TTTCATAAAAATGATGAAAAAAAATGATTCCGTAATTTTTTAAACGACAAAATATCGAACGAAAAATTTAGAAGTTAATTTTCGCAATTTGGGATGACATATTTAAAACTTTTCGTATTTAAAATGTTACTGAGTTTTTTTCTTATTTAACGTCTTTAAACAGTAAACAGGAGACATTAAAAATAATATTTTTATGTCTAGTAAACGCAATCCATAAGAGTAGAAACCAATTGTTAACAGACCAATTAAACGCAAATCGTGTTTTTTTTTTAACAAATTAACTCAGGGCTTAAACTCAAACAAAGTTTATTTAAAAATACAAAAATTCAATTGATTTGCATAATGAGGAATGTGAAATAGTCGGCAATGTAATGCTGTCGCCCATTGTATTAATTGAAGCTTTTTATTTCAATTGCTTTAAGGCAAGCGCAGTTGTAAACCATATTTATTACGATAAAACATTCTCGAATTACAATAAAAACAAATTGAAATGAAAGAGCTTGCATTTAATTTATGCCAATCGGCTGACCACACGATAGCTCTTAATAGAAATAACATTTTTAATTTCACTTGATCAAAATGCAATGAAGCCATTTAGTGCTTGATCAAATTTGTAATCAAGCCCCACAATTACAATTATGTTATAGTTCTGTCACTTGCATATGACACACTACATGCAATTTAAATTCTGTCAAAGTCGAAAATATACTTTAATTTACGGATATAATTGACACACAATCAAGCACTGAGCTCGAATATCGGAGGCACATACAAACGTCACTCGAATGTCAAGCGACAGCAACAATTAAGGTTTAAAAATAAAAATGATTACAATCAATTGACTGACAAGCAATCAAACAAATGAGACAACGGCAAAATCAAGCGTCGTAACAAAATGTAGCCAAAAAACATTTTGTAAGTACTTTTGAATATTCATTTTAAAAACTTATGCTGCTCACAGATAACCTACATACAGAAATATTTGATGTTCTAAAATAACTAGTTCTATAATTTTATTACAGTCGGCGGTTTAAGCCGTACGTTAGTATTCATAAGTCGGAGATTACGCATACGCCACGGGCCGCAGATTAAATATGCCGATTAAATATTCATTTGCTGACGTAGCAGCGAGTCACTTAAAACATATTTTCACTGTTTGTGGCTTAGCGTATTAGTATTTATTATTTGCCTACGTCAACAAAAATAAATAAAACAAAATTAACACACAGCTTGTTTTCAGTCTCAAGTAGAAGAGCAGTATCAACAACAAATGCTAAGGGGCTACCGGGTTTCCAAGCCAATCTCTTGAAATTCTAAAGCAGCGGCAATAACAACAAGCAAAAACTGTGATGTCGCATATGCGACTATCAAATACACTTACTCCGGCTTTAAACAGTTAAAGATATTATTGCATGTAATATTAAACATATGGCAGTTTATAATTCGACTTGTCTTGCGTATCAAATCTATTGTAAAGTGTATTTTCTGCTGTGTTATTAACTCTTTGTTTTCGCGAAGTTGTAATGAATAGAGACAATGAAATGTTGGCCGTCAGCGGAAATGTTTCAGCCTCCCTACTCGGCTCGATGCTCGGCTCAATTTGATTGTAAAACTCTGTTTTATTGGCAGCGTTTTGCATATAATTAAAATGGATTTCTAGTATGCCACAGTCTGATGACATTTTGTGGCAATCAACGAGTCTGCTCCGATTCGCAAACAAAAGTCGCTTTGATTGCAATTACATATGCATGGGCAGAAAGGGAGCGCAAATGCAGCAGCAGTGCTGCAAATGACGGCTGACTACGTGCTGCAAATGCAGATAAGCAACCAAGCATTACAGACCGCAAAGAGTGACACCCACAGGATTGCGTGCTGCCAGTTACACGGCCAGGACACTCTGCAGGCAAAACAGGATCTGCACTTGTTGATAAGAAGCCTATGCTAACTGAAATATTAAACTGGCTGTTTGACTGACAGACCGGTTGACTGATTGGACGCTACAAGTAATTGGCGTGTTTGAAATGTGCGCCGGACTAGAACTGCCACAACACACACACACGCACTCATACCCACTCACACTTGGCACAAGAAACAGCTTGGACATGGCACATGAAACGCCTCCGCACCAGCGGCTTTTGTTGCATTGTATTGCGTGCGATAATTAACAACTGTTATTTTTTTCTTTTTAGCTGCTTAGCATACAACATAACTAAAAGCTTGTTAGCCTGATAAAAAAGAGTACAATAGTAACAACTATAACAACAAAATACACACGCACACCCACTTGAAATGAATTGGCGTGTATTGTAGGCAGCGCGGCAACAGTTGCCACACAGCAGACGCAAGTTGTTGACTTGACCAGCGGTCATTGAACCAAACGGCTTGACTCTGGTGCAAAATTCAAGTGGGCGCCGCCAACTAGGTGGGCAAAAAGTGTAAAGAAATGCACAAACGCAAGGCTATGCCAACAGGATGCAGTTCACAGCACCGAAGTGTTTGCAATTGCATTTGCCAAATATTTACATTAAATTAAGCACAGAAAGGAGAACGAAACCCGAATACTTAAGCGAGCTTAAAAGTACTTTTTCTGTGATGTGTGATTGTTAATTTCAAAAGATTTTAAATTGTGTCATCATGCTACAAATTTTGCCCTTTATAGCTGCCCATGGCCATCAAATCAAATGTTGCACATTTTATTCTAGCTCCAAACGATGGTCAACCCCTAAGTAGCATTCGTATCCGCAGTTCACTCTTTTATTCTCTTTCTCTCTCTTCCTCTATCTCTTTCTATCTCTGATGTAATCAACGTTATGGCAGCGCATTAGGCAAAATTTATGCCATCGAAGGCGACGTCTCTTCTGTCTCTGTTCACTGCGTCCATTTTAATGCGTCCTCATTTCATAAAATCCATAAAAAAAAATCAAATGCAAGCATAGTTTTTGCTGTTAAAACAAAAGGCGACAGAGAAGCTTAAAGACTGGCAGAGAGAAGAGCCGAGAGGCGCGCTAATATACTGGTAAGGAGAATTTCAATTTGAGACGTTCCCAATGATTAGCTCTAGTTTCTGGCATTGCGGCACGCGCAGAGCTTTGCATCAAAGCCCACAAAAACAGCAACTAGCGATGCTGACAAGAACTATGTGATGTATATATACTTATGCCTAACGGCAGCTGGGTAACCATAATAAAGGGCAGAAAAACCACAAAAATCTGGAGTGGAAAGTCCTCGAAATAAATTATCATACTGATATTTTAAAGAATATCTCACTGTACATTATTCCCTTTAAAAAAGAGCTTTGCGAATTTTTTTTGCTGAAATCAGTTCAAAGTAAAAGAGGACAGCTTCGTATCCATCGAGCATATATAACTTTATTCAGCAGCAAAAGTCGATGCAGTATTATTCAACCGTCCATTGTTTTTAAATGACCAATTTTTGCATTTTATTTCTCGATCAAAAATAATAAAGTCAATAAGAATATTACATGCTTTTTTGAACTAGCAACTGATTATAATAACAATTCCATGACCATCCAATAATTTATACAAAAGTAATTCTAAGAAAATGACTTTTTTAACATTTATTTATATGCACATTTGTAATTTAATCCATACATTTGTGCTTTTGTAAAAACCGTAATTCAGTTTTTGGTACATGGTATATTCTAGTCGAGCACCCTCGAATTGAGTTTTGCTGCAGCGTCAAATAAGAAGCAATTGGGGGCCAGACCTTAAAAAAAGTGGACCTAAAAAACGAAGTCAAAACTTTGTCAAGAGAACATCAAAAAGTAAAAAGAAAATAAAAGTTTTGGCCAAACGAATGTTGTAGCTGTCGGCTTTTGTTGATTTTATACGAATATAAAATTCACTTTTTGGCTCGTTAAATCTATTGCAAATATATGTTTTTTCTCTTTTCTTCTCTCTCTCTCTCTCTCTCTCTCTTTCTCTCTCTTGCCCCTGACGTCTGTTACCTCCTCTTTATAAACAAACGTTTCTTAAATATTACATTACTAGAGAAATTGAAATGTTGCGCACGTTTCTGTCATTTAAATCTGTTGAGCGGCGTAGAAAAGTATCTGACGAATGCATTCCAATGGCCGCTCGATTAGCTTTTTATATTTGACTAGTCTTTTTCTCAGCTGGTACAGGCTGAAACTGAGTAACAGAAAGTGTATGAATGTATTTGCTTGAGTCTTGTAGATGTTGCTGTTGCTGGTGTTGTTGTTGATGTTGTTGTTATTATAATTTAAATGACTTCTTCACGGGTGCAGTCATTAGAAGTCATCATGCATGCAATCTTTAGATACATTTCTATCCATAAATTAACATACATATATCCTTAAACGTGGTACAGAGCTGGGCGAAGGTGACCTTCAGCTTGCTGAAATATTCCAATAACCGCTCTGCATAATTTCACAATATTTTATCGCAAATTGTTGGGGTTGCCTTTGTGTTATATAAGACGAGCCAAGAAAATGACACTGAACTTGACTGCCGACTGGTCACAGGACGCCTAGCTATTGAGGTGTGACCTCGATGACAGAATGTCCAAGTATCTGCCAGTACCGAGTACTGAATCAAATAGAGCACTTAAAGCTGTAACATGAAGCATGAAAATGAATAAGTTGCTGGAGCGCAAACATTTAACGCTTCATTAACTTTAGATAAAGCGCAGTGCCAGGCGCCATACTACAACTGCCCGGCTCAGCCCAGACTAGCGCAGCCCAGCCCAAGCCTAAAAAGGACTTGATTTGGGTTTGGGTGAATGTTTCAGTACTACAATACAATTAACACCCGCCCTGAAAATCAGAGCCAAACAAAAATCGATGCGACTCTGCAGGCTCCCAGACAAGACAAGGTGCCAACACAGAAGCACTTCGGCACGCGTTCGCTGGCCCTCGAAGGATTTGTTGCCTAAATGCATGGTCTGGTATTTTTCGTGAGTAGTTTTTGTACGGGTTGGTTAGATACTTGTGCTTGTGGTCTTTGGGAATATTCACTCACCTTCTCTCGCTTTCAAGTAGACCGTATTGGCCACAATATTCTCTAATTCCATTAGTTCCAGGTTGGCGGTTTTTTAATGAATCCTTTGGCGCTCTCAAAAAATAACACACGATGCTTGCAACCAGCTGTTCAGCCTGCGGCTTTTATGGATCAAATTGCCTTTGCTTTTACGGGCCACGCAACTCTATTCAGCTTTTGATGAACCTGAAGCTAAGCTGAAGCTGGATGCGTGTTGCTTCAAACTAGCAAATCTATGGCAGGCTGGCTAATTTGTGGCCGTCGTCTAAGATCCAGCGTTGCGGTATTTGGCGCAGTTACACACACAGGCTTCATTTAGTTTTAAGGTTGGGTTTGGCTAAAACAGAATTTCGTGCCTTTGATGTTACAGAAATTTCGTGTGCTTGATTGGATTTACTTTTTAGGCTGGGCCAAGTGCTGGCGCGTTTATCTAGAATGAAATATGTGTTATAAAGTGTTAATTAATTGACTTTGGCAAGAAAGTTATGCGGCTAAAGAAAATGTATAAGCACGTTCTTAATGGATTAATAAGCCAAAAACACGCAAGATAAGTGTAAAATGGATTTGGTAAGGTGATCAGACTACGTTGTTCGGTTTTTTTCTCTTTAAAAGTGATTCAGTCCTAATTCAAAACGTGCAAGTTAAGTTTAAAATGGGTCGAAAGGTGTTTGTAGTGCTTTAAACGCTGCTTTAATAGACACTAGTTATGAATATGACATTTTATATAGTTTGCATGCATTGAGTAGCGCGTATATATAAAATGTGGGTTTATTTACTCTTCAACTTGGTGTGAAATTCATAATAAGGACCACAAGGAAGCCTGTCTATGGCATTGCATTGGCTTTTGTGTATGTGTATCTACATATGTGCAGATATACAAATGTACCCTTTGTATGCTTTACTTTGCTCGAAAAATTTCACTCAAATTGTTGTGCCGCTTGCCGGATGCCTTCCTCAGCTCGTCCCTTGGCAGTTATTGCACGTTGTCTCTACGTGTACTTGTTGTCGCCTAGTTGTGACAAAGGAGCTGCGTACGTTTGTATCATGCAGAGTGCACTCAGTGTGTGTGTCTGCGGGCATGGTTGCGAGTGTGTGTAACCAAGGCTTGGTTAACAAGCACCGCAAAAACTGCCTCAAGTGAGTCGCTCTTTGGGCAAAAAAGCCGCAACATATTTTGTCCAAACGACGTGCAGTTGTTGTTGTTCTTGTTGTAGTTGTCGCTGAGGTGTCAGTAATGTTGCGGTCGACATTTATTAATCATGGAAATGAACAAGAAGAAATGTGAGGCAAAGTGGCAGCAATGCCAGTTGGCAGCTGAAACTGGAGAAGTAGCTCTGTGGCATATGGCAGGGCTTGGGATATGCTGAGACGTGCGTGAGGGTATCTCAACTCAAGTGGTGCGTCACGAGCAGCCAGCAGAAATGTAATTGAATGACAAAAGTTCTCTTCAAGCCTCCTTGGCCAGAGTGCGTGATGGCAGGATGTGCTGGTGGCATCATACACTTAAAATACCCCGTTGATGTACTATTCTAAAATAATATTTAATAGTAGAAATATGTTTAGCTTTTAGCTGTTTCCGGGAATAGTTAAGCGATAAATTGTTGCTATTTCTGCGCTTTTCACTTATCAACTTGTCTGTGCGTCATATGGGAAACATTTATTGAGCGATCTTTCAGTCGCCTAGCTATAGGCAGTTTTAAATTATACATGAACTCATGGTCATATAGCTTTTTCTATATATATGACGATACATTAATAATAATGGGTAACATCAGAAGCAGCAGTAATGGCAACATGTGCTCGTCTGGAGCTGGAGCAGGCGGTGCACATCAGTCAAGGCATAAAACTGTGGTCATGTCTGGACCATGTGAGTGTTTACATTCAAAACAAATTTCAGCCAGACAAAATTTAGCAATCAAGCGGCTGGCAAATTAATTATTTTTCAAATGCGTAGCTAAACAAATAAACAAAGAGACATAAAAGTGCGGCATATGCGACTTCTAAATGCACTGCTACAAAATCTGATTTACTAAGCTACAAGAAAAGTCTCAATGCTTTTCATCTTAAATAAAAATGAAAACTAACGACAGCTTAATCTGAATCAGGAAGAATCTTTAAATATTTTACGAACAATTAAATAATATAGCAATTGGTTTTTTGTGCAGTTTGCTTGGTTAAGATAGACAGCTATTAAAAGCAACTGCACCAAGTTTCATCAGTAAATCAGTTTCGTATAGGCCTAACCATTACATTTAATTTTAAAAAGTTATCTAAAGATTTGAACTGAAAGGGATGTCAGGGTATAAAGTGCTTATCAACGGCAACAAGCACTTAAGTGCCAACATTATATAACATTCACACTTAGTCGTGCAATATTCACGACTTCGCACGGCATTGCATTAAATTAATATCCCCATTCAATTTATTTGAAAAGGTAAAGCACATAAAGTGCGTGTAGTGCCTCCTAAAAACAGAATGAGGCGCAGATTCTAAAGTATTGACGAGTCTCACTAAAACGAACACATGAGCTCTGGCTTCCGGCCAGGCCGTGATGCTCGGTGTCTCTGTGTAGGTATTTATATGTCTGTGGGTGTGTGTGTGTATGTGTGTGTGCAAAAAGCGCTAAAAGCCACTTTATTGAACATTTACGCCATTAGCGTTGGCAACGGGACGCTGTAGCAGCAGCAGTTCCCGTGACGATAACGTTATAAAAACAGAAACGACGTTGTCAGTCAGTCACTCGGCGATATACACACACTTCCGCACACACCCACAACCATGCAGGCTGGCGACCATTATGAAAATTTTATGAAATGGCGTAAATGTGCATGACAAAATTAAGCAGTAACAACAACTATACTAGAACCGATAGCCATTCTCCAGTGTGTCTGGAGGATAGGCCCAAAGGGCATTCGTGCTATGCTGTTTGAAAATGATAAGGCCTAAATATTTTACTCTTTAAAGCCACTTCGATAGAGTTAATAGACATTAAGAGATTGAAGTTAGGGCGATCATCAAATAGCATATCATATATAAATATCATGTCATATTTACTATATGAGTAGATAGTTTTTGGTTTGGGTAGGAAATCTATTTATTATTCAGAATCATCTGACGAATCTAATCCATATCCATAAAAAGATAACAGAGTATTGCTCAAAGTTTTAAAATTTAATAAATATTATTCTAATTGGGGAGAGAAGTCTTAAAAATATATGTTAATATGATACCATTGGGATACTATTCGAAAGGTTCTATACGTTCCTGAGCTTTTTTATTATTGTTGTTAATATTTATACTCATTTTTTTATTTTGATCACCATAATGAAATTTTACTGAATAGTCAATAGTTTTTTGGTACAGCGTAACAAACAGCCAGTCGAGTATTTCAACTCGTTGATAAAGTGTATGTCTAGTCTACACAAAATGTTTATATGAGCGCTCACAAAAATATATTTAGGTATTTTCTATGCAGCTCGAGCTTCTCCTGCTTCTAACCCATCCTCATGAGCTGCCCTAAGCAAGCAGCAATTGACTTATTAATTAAGATAAAGCTAGAGCTTGGAATTGGGGGAACTGTCAGTAGAGTGCCTGTTAACGTATTTGCCATCCCTTATCATATTTATGACAGCCTTGGCCAGGCCCAGCCACACAGCCAAGTATAATGTCGTCAATTTGAATGCCTGGCGCGACTTTCGGGTCAGTTGAACGTTGCCTGCATAGACAAGTAGCGACCGATTCTGGAATAGCAGAATACCTTCTCTAGTTATTAAAATAGAGACAAGCTCTGCTAGAACTGAACTTCAATCAAGAAGAAGCCCGATAACCCAAACGGATATCCGCAGTTCGCTTCTGCCACATTAGTTATGGAATCGTCTTCCTTTTTGCCTGCATCTGGCTTTTTTTGCTGATGCTGGCAAAAAAAGGCCAAAACTGAGCAGAACCCGAAAGCACAGAAAACACCAAGAGGACCAGGTCCGCGTGGGTGTCCTGACTTTAGCTGGTTACATTGCCCACTTGGCTTTGGCCATGGATTTTATTCCTTTTTTGTGCTCTCTTACATTTGTGGATTTCACATATTTTTCTGTTTAAGCTACGTTATGTTGTTGCCTGCCATTTCATTTTTCTCTTTCATTTTTTTTCTTGCCGTCCTGGTCTCGGCCTCGCCCAGTTTTTGTCGTTCTGTGTTAATTTTGCTCTGAATGCGCAATTTATTTGCGTTAAACTTGGATGTACGTGTTTCTGTGTGTGTTGTTGTCTGGCTGTTTGGCTGTGTGTGGGTTTGTGTGTGTGCCAGAGTGCGGCAAAGGATCAACTTTTGCCCGCACTCTGTGGCATTGCATGTGTCTGGCTTGCATTTTGTGTGGACGCCCTTAAAATTGTTTTCACTTTAATTTGCAGTCGTTGCAAAATTTAATCAGCTCTTAATATATATCCATTGCATGGTTACATACATTAGCATTCTGCTGAAGATAGCATGTCCTGAAATATATGTGTGAACGTACATAAATACTTTTTACTTATGTACTTATTAATTAAAAGACTAACCAAATTTTAGCAAAGTATTTAGCTAAAAGGCTAAGAGCCTTTTATAAGCTTACAGTTTTGGTACATGGTAAATTAAACATATTTTTTCCAAGAACGAACATTGTATGCAGTAATCCCTCTATATAAAACTGTTTGACCTGACTGACTGACTGAATTACTGAGTGACTGACCGATTGGTGATCAACGCACAGTCCAAACCGTAAGAGATAGGAAACTGCACGTTAAGATGGGGTTTCGGGAGTGTGAAAAAATTGCGGAAAACGCTTGTATGAAACATTTTCGTTTACCCTCCGATCCGCCTCAAACAATTTTCAAAGATCTTTGTTCAAATTCGATTCAACGATCCCGCCCACTAGTGCATTATATCAGCGTGGTCTGTATAGAGGATTGTCTTATAATTACAAAAACCAGAGAATTTACATTTAATTAATATAATTAAAAGCATTTCAATGTGCACACAACGATTGCAAACTTTATCATAAGCTTATCATTGCAATGTTTTGCAATTTACTCGCCAGCCATTCGATTAGCCGAAGAGAGCAAAAATACTATATAAAATACAATTAAAAGTTGCGCATTAAGCGGTCTGGTCTTTTGATTGGTATCATTATTACTTAATGGACACTCGTTAAACTTAAACAGCCAAGTGCTTGTGTATATTTATAGATATACGTACTTGGTTAGAAATGCGCATTGAAATTACATACACCTATTTCAGAGATTTCTACATACAAAGATATTTTGTCCTGAAAAATCTTTTGTACAGTCAAGTCTGTAGTGAAATTTCCTGCATGAGCTTTTATGAGTATATATTTCCCAAAAGGAATGAGATAACATTCCTTTTACCAAATGTCGTCAAACAGCTAGCAATACAGCTTAGTT